GAGTGGACAAATTCTTATCCAATTGGATAAAACTGTCTGACATTTAGTGAGTTGGAGTAATTTGGAAATTTCATTTAGAGAGAAGATATTTTTGCCAGTGAAGCAGAAAAAGGAAGCTCTGTGTTGTACACTTTCCCCAAGGTAGGCCAAATAATATAAAAAATTAAATTTTTAAAGGATCTGATATGCCTTGAATGGGAGAAATTATTATTACTAAATGCCATACAAATTCTTTGGGGAAAATAAAAGTTAAAATACTTAAGGTTCACCCCATGACCCAGGGCAAAGTCCAGGTAAAAGGGCTTTCAACTCATAATCTTCAACTTTATGCAGGTGATTTATTGGAAAGATGGTACATTCCTAAAATACAAAGCCTTGATGATAAGAGAAAGGAGACTCTGGATAGTGGAGCTAGGATGACTACTCCTTTTTTATTTCCATGGCATTTTTCCCTCCTTTCCCCCAAATTGATAGAGCATTGCAGGGTCCCCTGCTCTTTGAGCTGCAACAAAATGAGTCACATGAATCTAATCGTGTACACTGCAGGGACGTGCTGTCATGTCTGCAGGATCTGCCATCATACAAAGGTTGAAAGAGTCTTCTTAGAATCTCTTATGCCCGCAGATTATGTAAGTGTACTGCACCCCAAGATTCCGACAGAGCCAAGGCTGAATCCTGGCAAGGCATTTTTCTCTCACTTTCCTACCTATAAATGAAAGATGGGCTAGACTGTCTCTAATATCGACTTTAGTTCTAAAATCCTACGAGTCTAAGAAGAATTGAGTTTATTGTAAGTCATGACAGCTATGGAACAGTCTTCCAATTGTCTATTTTCTCACACTTCTTTTTAACATTCCCTGTTCTGATCATTATGGTCAAACCATCTGAAGATTTTCCACAATTCTATGTATCAAACTTGGTTTAAAAAAATAATTTAAATACCTGATTTTTTAGAGTAATTATTTTTTTCAGTATATTAAAATACAGGTCAGATATATCTGACATATGCCTTGAGTCTTTTTAAATGATTTAAGAACAAAGTTATCTATAATTAGTTAGAAAAATACTGCAAAGAATGGAACCAAAAGTAAATTAAATAAACCAGCTACTAAACTACACATATGTCCTTAAAATCTTATGGGAGTCAAATATTCCAGTAAAAATAACAGAAGGGATGGAAACACAAGTTTCTTATTATCACACTTCATATGTTATAAAACATAACAGCTAACTTATTTTTGGCAAAATGATTAGGGATTGCAACATTCTGGCTTACACACACTTATTTGATTGTCAAATGCATCTTAAATGGAGCATGTCATGCTAACTTCAGCCATGCAAGCACTGTGTTGTCTTAGAGTAGCCCAGAGACACTGAAATGTCAACACTTTGACAGGGATCACAACGCCAATATTAACTGGCCCAGATGTCTTATGGGGGGGAGGGAAAGTTTTTTTTGGAGTTTTAAACAATTTAGTTAATAGAAACCAGATAAAGGTTTTGAAAAATAAAATCATACAGATGTTCACTACTTCACTCCCTAAAAGATGACCTTTATGGACAATTTATTGTACATGTTATTTTCTAGGATACACCTCTAGATAAAAGAGAGTTTCATGTGCCTCTCTGAACAGTCTATAACCACAGTATGAGATATGTCTCCACAACAGACTAGGTTAAGCTCACGTTTCATCTTTTTTCCCCTTTTCGCCACCTTTCCTACAAGCACAAGGACACCTAAAGGCAGGGCAATAATTACGAAGTCATGAGGCTTCAGAAGCTGTAAGGTGGTGCATTAACCTTAAGATGCATCATGTCTCTTTCCCAACAGATACTGTGAATGCAGGCCCCACAAAGAGGAAAGGCTCCAGATGACTGTGTTGACCAACTCTTTTCAAATACACAGAGAAGCCACACACTGCATGTAAAAAGGACCTGGTACAAACTAAAGCAAAAAGGAGATGGCTGGCCCCATAGCACAGAGGTTAAGCTTTGTGTGGAGGGAGCTGGATCTCACATGGCTGAGATTATGGTTTAAGTCCTGTGGTTTAAATCCAGGCCCTGGAGGGGCCAGCAGGTGGTGTGGTGGTTAAGGTGCTGGACTCCCACATAGCTGACAGCGGTTTGAGTACCAGACCTGGTAGCTTTCTTTCTTTCTTTCTCTTTTTCTCTGGTGAGCATATGTGCCCTGCAGCAAATTAAAAATAATAATGAGGATAAAAATATTAAATAAATAACTTTTAAAATTCCTACTTTAAAAACATTCTAGGCACGTGCTTATGCATACCTGGGATTCTGATGGAATGACGGGATGGAGAGGACTGTGCTGTGACCATGTCCATCTCACCGAGGGGCTCTGAGCTTCTCTCTCTCTCTGGCACGTGCACATGCCCTTGGGCATTAAAATAAAACAAAACACAAAAAATCTAAAAGCACCCATATGTGATTAAATTAATAGACTGTGAAGAACTCAGAAATTAATATTTTCTTTCCTATGTTCTAGAATAAAAACATTATTTCAAATACACAAGTTCCCTTTTTAATGTTTTTAACTTTTTAAATACCTGGAATAACCAATAACCAAAAATCACATTTCTTATGAGTTTGCTACATTTATTTGACAGGACCAACTACTACCTACACTAGAAAATAATTTCAGTACTTTAATTTATGCATTTTGTATAGCCACATGCTTGACTGTACACCAACCACATAAGTGAAATCCTAACCTAGTGCTTTTTTTTTTTTTTTTGCTATAGGGTGCATGTACTCAGTAGAGACAGAGAGAAAGAGGGAAAGTGAGAAAGCAGTCACCAGGAGGGATGTCCACACAACAGTCCCTACTCCACCACTCTCCTCTTGGGATTTTGGACACGCATGCACATGTACCTGGTGTGTTTTTCAAGCCACTGGGGCCAGGACTCACACCATGCTGCCACCCACGTGGGACCCAGTTGCTTGTGTGGGATCCAGTCACTTCTACCTCTGCACCATCTGCTGGTCCCTCACCTAGTATTTTTGTCCTTGTGTAATTCCATCCTCTTCAATCTGGCCTGGACCTAGTGATTTGTTGCTATGACAGAATGCAGCAAAGTGATGGGATGTCACTTTTGTGATAAGGTTACCACCTGTAGTGTCCATCTTGCCAGCAGACTCTCTCTGGCTCTTGTCCCAGGCTTGCTTCAAATTAGAGAGGTGACATACAAGGACAGTGGCCACTACCTAACAGCCAGAGATGAAGGAAGGCCTTCAGTCCAACAATGCTCAAGGAATTGAATCCTGCCAATGACCACTGAACGAGCTCAGAAGCAAAGTTCTCTCAGTTCAGGTCTTTAGTGAGACCGCAACCCTGAAAGATACCTTGACTACAACCTTGTGATAGACCCTGAGGCAGAGGACTCACTAAACTGTGGCCAGATTTCTGACCAGGAACTGTGAGAAGAATAAATCTGTACTGTTTTCACACTGCTAATTTTTGGGATAATTTGACACATAGCAGTAGATGACTAATACAGTGGTTAACCTAACAACTGAGCTGGTTACTCATCCTAGTGTCATTTCTAGAAAGCCAACAATAGCTAATACATAGAACTTTTAAGTTGTAGGTACTTTTTAAAAATTTTATTTTTAAAATTTTTTTATGGAAGAGAGAGGCATTTTTGACAGTGTCGCACTATTGCTAATCGTCTGCCCCAACATCCCTGTTAGCTAAAATTACAGGTGTGCACTAGCACACCTGGCCTGTTCAGGTCAGTCTGGGCTCTGAACCTGGGTCACCTATGAGGCCCAGTCTCACACATATCCTTCTACAGCCTGTACTTACACGAGATGGCAGTTACCACATCTACTGGTTAGTCTGTCTTCGCCATTTAGACTCCTGGCTCTCTGTCTTATTCACTGGGATGTCTTATGTTTGTTAAATGAAGAAGTAAATGATCTAGTGAAATGCATCCACTCTATGGGTCATTTCAATGATACATGTTAGTGAAAGGACAAGTTTTGTTTTTAGTCTGCTACAGTTTGCTTGTTTTCCTGGGCACTTTAAATAGGTCTCTGTGTCTACACTGCCTCACTTAGTCCCTGAATAAATGAATGAATGTGTATCTTAGAAAGGCTGCCAAGCTATAGAAAGGATCCAGGACTGACGACTTAGTGTTCCACAAAGACAGCTGTTTGCCTTTCAATGATGATGATAATGAGGATGACACATTTTCTTCCTTCTGGAAGGAGGCATGAATATTTGCAAAATATTCTCTCCCAATAGAGACATAATTTTGTTAGGTCTTACCTGGTTACTGCTGTTAAATAATACTTTATGAAAGATGCCCAAGTCATATTTAACAGAACACCAGATAACCTTAAATTTTTTTTTTCTTTTTTTTTTTTGAGAGGTTTTTTTGTTATAGGGTGCATGCGCTCGCCAGAAAGACAGAGAGAGACAGAGAGACAGAAAGCGAGAAATCACCCCCCAGAGGGGATGGCCACACTGCAATCCCTTCTCCTCTCAGGATCTTGGGCACGCACGCACACGTGCCTGGCATGAGTTTAAGCCGCCGCATATGGGACTCGAACTGTGGTCGACTACGTGGGAGTCCAGCAACATAGCCATTACGCTAACTGCTGGTCCCAAGGTAACCCTAAATTTGAAGGCATATAGTCAGACAATGCCTACCTTTCTCAGTATTATTCTTTGAAACATTATGGGAATTTCAGAAATATGTACTCACATGTAATACACTGTAAAGTTATATGTAATCCAATGTAATATAAAGAAGATTATGATGACAATAAAAAATAAAAAACAAAAAAAAGAAAAAAAAAAAGAAATATGTACTCACACAGCCCATAGCAACATGGAGATAAGGATAAAGGCAGTTCCCAGGATCCCTCTACCTACTCTATGTATCAGTTAAACAAAAGACTAAGAGCAAAGAAAAGCTGAGGAAGATTTGTGCAAGTGTGTACGTGGGCACCCACGGTAACCCCTGCGGAGTACTTACTGGGAGCTCAGGGGCATGCTTCAAAATCTGAAGAGAAAAGTAGCACCCTACTGAGTGGCCAATGAGCACAAGCTTCACTTCTTCTGGCACATGAGCTCTCAGGAAAGCTAGTTTGTGTTCTACTTGACCATGTAGTCCATAGACGTCCTTAATTTCTTGAGCACTTGGATCTAAAAGCAAAAACATGACCATGTTTTCATTTACCAAGTCAAAGCACAGTCGAGCAGCAGGTTCTATACCCCTGATTCAAATAACTGCAGATGACAAGTATTAAATAAATAAATAATGATACAAAATTTAAAAATATTTAAATATAAACAAAAATATCTATATATCATGTATTTTATATGTATATTACTTGTAAATATTATAAGTAAGCTAGAGAAGTCTGAAAGTATACTAGAGAATGTACATAGGTTATAAGCAAACACCATGTCATTTTATGTAAGGAACATGAGCATCTGAGGATCTTGGTATCCACAAGGAATCCTGGGACCAAATCCCTGTGTGTACTAAAGGATTGTAATCGCTTCATTGGAAATAAAAATCTGTAATAATAATAATAATAATAATAATAATAATAAGGATTATAGCAGCAACCATTTACCAAAAGCCTACAGCATAAGTTATGCTATTAGGCACATCAATCAATCCTTGGAAAGGAAATATCCTCATCTTCACGTTATAGGTGCATGTTCCACCACCCAGAGGACATTAGGTAACAGACTGAGGGTCAAAGACCTAATAAGTAGGAGAGGTGAGATTTAGACCTAGGTTTGGTAGTCCTCAAAGCCCATGAATGTTCAGCTACCCTATGAATTACTACTAGCTGAGGGGACTAGTTCTCCAATTTGAGCATACATCAGAATGTCCTGGAAGGGTGGTTAAATCAGACTGCTAGAACCAGAGCTTCTGATTCGACAGGTCTGATCTGGGGTCCAAGAATTTTAATTTCCAGGTTTCCTGCAGATGTTGATGTGCTGATCCCAGGACCATGCATTGAGAATCACTGGTTTAGGATAACTTAAATCGTTAATAGGCAACTAACTAAGAATGGTTATGACATTGCATCATTATTCTAAATAATCTTTGTTAAAAGAACTCAGACTTAAAGACTTAAATTGATATGTTGTAACTACTCCTTTTCATCAGCACAGTTCTGACCTGAAATATCCGTCCTTCCTGTCCAAACTGAACTGTTTTCTAGATGCTTCAAGGACTAATTAAAACTCTACCTAGTAAATTTTCAAGAAAAATGAATGAGCCCTCATCTGTGCTTAAACAGTAGTTGACTCTGATGACAGCACTTTGTCAAACTTGTCTATTGCCTGTTCCTCTCTGAGCCTGTGAGTTCCTGGAAGGCAAGGCCCATCTTTTCATCTCTGTATCCTCTTTGACTAATATACAGTCAATATTATTGTTGAGTAAAATCTGATTAACATTCACAAGACGACCTCTAAGGATGTGCTAGCTCTAATATTCTATGAGTATGGAAAACTTCAATGAGTTTGCCCTATGAATCCAATAACAGGGTATATAATAGGTTGTTCGAAAAGTCATGAAGTATTTTCTATTCAAAAATGCATCATGACTTTTCCCAAAACCTGATATTTCAAACTATCACAAAGTAGTCAATTGCTCCCTAAAATATGAACCACGGGAGTACTACATTTTTTGCTTTTATGACTCCTGCATAGTATTGATGTTCACTATAAGCAGCGAGGGTCACTCAAAAGGCACCCAAAACTTATTATCAAAGACTACTCTTCAGTGTTGGGTCCACATTTTGTTCTCTTTTTCTTCAGTGCGCGTCTCCCCTTCCTAATCTAAGTCTGATTCATTCTCCAACTTGTACCAAGGGTTATCTCCTCTGATAGGCCTTCTGAGTCAATATGTGAGAAATAAAGTAGTCTTCCTTTCAGTTCTACAACATCCCCTGTTTACCTCACCACACTATTCCAATTTATTCCCGTTTTCTAATTTCGTGCCTGTTCATCTCTGTTCCCCAAAGTCTGGCATACACTTATTGAAGAGCTTTTCACTGGATCAGTGAGGCTTATGTCCCTATTTTTGTGATACTACTAACCTGTCAGGTAAGACATATTCAGCCCTAACTCTTCTTGCCAGGTAAGCCTAGGACTCATTGTCCACTTAACGACAAAGTTAAACAAAAAACAATTGGGAAGAAACTAAATCTGGAAACTGACTTTGGTAGAGTTCCTACTGGCTCCAAATCCAAATTTTTACTTATTAACAAATAAAAAGTATTATATTTAGGTTTGACTAGTTAATACTCTGTTACTCACAATATGTCTGCTCAAATCACTCTGTCCTAAAGAGATCACAGTGTTCTCTGATTACACACCCTCCTAATACCTATAATACTTGGAACTCAAGTTCTTCAAAATGCACAGCATTTGGAAATGTGCAAGTCTCGGTGTCACTGGTATGTCCAGGTGTAGTACCCAGATCACGAACCTCTGAGACAAGACTAAACCCTGGCTTGACACCTCTATAATTGTGTAACTTAACGTTCTTTTCCGAGGACGGCTGCTTAGATGTTTGCCATAAACTGTCTGATAAACAAAACTTCTCACTGCTAGTATTTCAATTCCTATTGTTTAAATCCTCCCTCAAATATATGCCAAGAACATCTGCATGGTTAGAATGAAGAGAAAGAAAATGAGCTAAATATAATAAATACTTTAAAACTTCACTGACACTAGAAATAAGGGCCTAAAACACTACATTTCAGATGAACATTAATGAACTGGTAATTCAGAAGAATATTCAGATGAATTTAAGATCTGACTTTACCTCTGAAAATTGCTCAGTAGTTCTCTGAAATTACATACTCCTTGTTGGTATGTGCTGAAGAAATGAGATTAATGAGGAAAGCAACTTCTATAAATAATCAATAATAGAACCTTTAAATGTGCTCTCTGGACATTATTTTACTAGCAAGAACAAAAAGTTAAAAGATCATCTACCCGATTCTATATTTTCATTCCTATTACTATTTTAACTTGAAAAAAATGCTAATCATTAACTTACTGTCTGTAAGGTGCAGTAAAAAATTATACTCAACTGTATCAAAACCCGAAGAATGATAATATGGAAATCTTTCATAACATTATTCCCAGAGGGAAAATGTACTCCAAGTTACAATCAACTAAGCACGTTTAAAACACTTGTTTCTGAACTGAGAACGGCCTGAATTGATAGATGATGATCCAACTCACCACACCATTACCAATAAATGGTTGTGAATACGACACCGACAATTTCTCCTTAGAACTCAGACCTAATTTTTAGGTCCATTTCTACTGAAATTCACTTCCTAGTTCATTTACTGACTGTAGAATTTATTTCAAAATGTAAATATAATCTGTACCAAACCACTTCATGCAGGAATTAAATAATATTAGCATTTCATATTTTCTAATTATTCAGTTTTTAAAATTGTTGTCAATTTTAGATTAATTTTAGATGTGTCCCTTTCAGCCTCAGGGCATAGGTAAATCTGTCACCTCTAATTTTCTTTCATTTTCCCTGAACTAAACTGATTTCTCTGTTAGAAAACCATGACTAATTTGGCCATGGCTAATATTGAAAATACAGATAAAAATACAATATACCACCCTTGCCTCCGAGAAGATCACAGGGTAGTAAGAGGAAACAGACACAGGCACAGATGAAAACACAATTATAGGGGCAGTAGGTGGGTGTGGAGGTTAAGGCACTGGACCCCACAGGGCTGACTGCATGGTTCGAGCCCTGAGACTTGACTGACCGACTATTTCTGCCTTGGACTCATGTAGCCATTCCATCTTCCTTCTATGAGTCTATGCTATTCCCAGTTCTGCTAGAGTGAAAGCTCTGCTGGGTTTTCTCCTTCTTTCCATTTGGAGGGCTGCAGTAGGAGCAGTTTATAGTTTCTTTGAATAACCATGACCTAAATCCATCATTACTTGCAAGACTGTATAACTCTTTAGGTGGCTATTATCTGCTAAAATTAAACCAGTATGTATGATTTCTAGTTTTTGTTTTATATTTTTTGAGCAAATGACTTGAAATAGTTGATAATGAATTTGCCTTCAAGTAAGCTGACTCCAGAAAATCAAAGCCAGAAAGCATTTTATACTTCTAATTCCTCAAATTTTCTTTTCACACTTTTTTCCCCCTTGAATCATCTACTTCTGACATTGGTAAACATCTGTTCTCCCAATTATACTCAATTTATGATTGTGATAATGTGGTGTAACTATAATATTATTTCCAACTGTTCTTAATTTTAACATGTGGCTAATATGAGGCAAAGCATACTTTCAACATTTGATGTGCCATTCTAGCTTACACCGTTTCTCTCAATGCCTACATAGTTTTCACACCATACTTTGCATGTCAGAAAGCCTAGACCTTAGGAAAAGACTCTTGCATGGCAGATAACACATTTGTCCTGCCTATCTAAGGCAATCCACTGTAGCGTGCATAACCTCCAATATGGAAACCAGATGAAAGCAGAACTGTTCTGGTTGGATGGCAGGCTGGTAAAGCCCAGAGCCCTACTCAGCCTTCACACAACTCCTGGGATACTCAGATGGAACGTCACGAACCTAAAAGGTGGAGCCTGGCACTTCTACCTCTTTGCATTTTCCTGCAGCACCACACAAAATAACCTAGGAGGTTGCCAAGAAATCCATCGTGATGATGAGTGGCCCTTCCCCCTCTTGAAACCACAGCTTCCTTGGGCCCTGAGATCGCCCTTTGGGCTGATGCCTCTAGATGGCACTGTTCTCATTAGGTAGCAAAGAACCCAGGCTAATTACTAAGGTACGGCCTCAACAGTACAAAGCAGCCCAAACAGTATGAGCACACTCAAAGTAAGGTTATAAGTAACAAAATGTAAATTTCAAATAAGAATTAAACGCACTTCTTAGAAATTCAGACACACAACAGATATTTGCTACTGGTCTCCTCATCAATGTTCATTGGTAAAGATTTAGGGCAGTGGTTGATTTGAAAAGGTGGTCGCAGGGCCAGCCAGTATCAACATTACATGGGAACTCCAAAAAAAAAAAAAAAAAAAAGAAACATTACATGGGAACTTAGAAATGCAAATTCCCACCCCAGCTTTTCTGAATCAACACTCAGGAGGTAACCATCTGTGTATAAGTCCTCCAGGTGATTCTGATGCATCCCAGTGTTTGAGAACTGCTGGTCCACGGTGATCTCTCAAACTTTGAAAGTTGTTATTCGCATTGTACTTAAATATCTGCTTTTGTTTTTAGTATGACCTTTTATTTATTTATTTTTTAGTTTTTTACCATAGGGCATCTACATTTTCCAGAGAGAGAAAGTGAGAGGGAAAGTGAGAGATCACCCCCAGGGAGGATGGCCACCCACAATCCCTTCTTACCCATTCTCCTGTCAGGGCTTAGGGCACACATGCACATGTGTCCAATGTGATTTTCAAACTACTGGGTCCGGGACTTGAACTATGTGATCAGCCATGTGGCAGTCTAACACCTCCACCACTACATTTAACATGACTTTTGATAGCTCATAGTGTTAGTTGTATGCTGCTCTATTTAAATAATTCAACCCACAGCTTCTCTAGTGCGGATGGCTTTTCTCACCAAGTAAAAATGTGGGAATAAGACATGCTAGCTACTTACTCCCCATTACAAAATTTGAACACAACAAAAGGAGAGGCATTATCTTTCACTGAGTACCTGGTGGTGTTTCCACTGCCTCCTAGCTCCCTTTCTCTTTGGTCTATCCCTTCTGTTGGCAGAGTTCAGATAAGATTAGAATACCCAGCAGCTTTTAGACATACAGCACATTAAACAAGCCTGTTTTCTAGGAAGAAATTGTTTAACGTCTTTTCTCCAAACATAAGACAGCAAAAGCATGTTCTAAGCGGACATGTAAATTTCCTGACAGTGGATAAACTATGATATTAACTTCCAAATCTGGGGCATATAGGAAGAAACAACTAAAACCAATAAAGACATAGCTTTAAAGTTATTTCACAGCATTGGAGCAAATATCTGCTATACTTTTTTTGGGGAAAGAGAGAGAGGTTTTTTTTTTTTTTTTTTTTTTTTGGGGGTGTTTTCCCCTGGGGGGCATTGCCTCCCCAGATTTTTTTTATGCGCTCACCAGACAGACAGAGAGAGACAGAGAGACAGAAAGCGAGAAATCACCCCTCAGGGGGGATGGTCACGCCACAATCTCTTCTCCTCCATTCTCCTCTCGGGATTTTGGGCACACACGCACATGCGCCCGGTGTGAGTTTTAAGCCACCAGGTCCAGGACGCGAACCGCGGTCGACTACGTGGGAGTCCAGCGACATAGCCATTACACTAACTGCTGGTTCCCAGAGAGAGGTATTTTTGACAGGGTCTTACCATGTTGTAATCCTCCAGCCCCAGCCTTCTAGTTAGCTAGGATTACAGGTGCACACTACCATACCTAGCCTGTTTAGATTGGTCCAGGAACTGGACCATGTCTCCCATGTGTCCCCAACCTTGTACCATGGTGTCCCACAGCTTGTACCACTGCAGCTGGGCCTCTACTATACATTTTATTTCATTTTAGTCATTTCTAATATGGCAGTTGTTGAAATAAATATCTTTAATTAAGGCAATACAATTTGCATGTTCAGTTTCATTTCACTATTTTTTAAAAATCTTTTGCTACTTGGAAGTCAATATTCACTTATCTTTCAAAATACATCTTTTTTAAAAAAAGATTTTTGTCATAGGGCAAGGGCACTATTTGAGAGAGACAGAGGGAGACACTGAGAGTAAAAGTGAGAAATTACCTCCCCCGGGGGAAGGCCATGTCACAATCCCTTCTCCATTCTCCTCTCAGGATTTTGGGTATACACGCATATATGCCCAGATGGTTTTCAAAGTTGCCATGTCTGGGACTAAAACCATGGATGGCCATGTTTGGGTTCAGCAACTTAGCCAAGATGCTACCTGCTGGCCCCCAAAACACCTAATTCTAATAAAATGTGTTTTTAAATTTTTTTTAAAGACGTTGTTTCTTGCCTTAGGGTGTATGCGTTCACCAAAGAGAAAGAGAGACAGACACAGTTAAGAGAAAAAATGAGAATTTCCTCTCCTGGCGGGGGATGGCCATGCCACAATCCCTTCTCTTTAATTCTCGTTCCAAGGTCTTGGGCATGCATACACATGTGCCTGGTATGATTTTTGAAGTCACTGGGTCTGGAATTTGAACCATGGTTGGCCAAGTAGCAGTCATCTGTTGGTCCCGTGTTTTTAATTTTTTTTTTTTTTTAGAGAGAGATTTTTGCTGTAGTGCACATGTGCTTGCCAGAGAGACAGAAAGACAGAAAGCGAGAAATCACCCTCCAGAGGGGATGGCCACACTGCAACCCCTTCTCCATTCTCCTCTTGGGATCTTGGGCACGTGCACCTGTGCCCAGTGTGAATTTCAAATCGCTGGGTCTTGAACCACGGTCAACTACGTGGGAGTCCAACAACATAACCATTACCCTATCTGCTACTCCCCATAGTTGATTATTAGTTAGTAAATAAAGGAAGAAAGTCACAGATTGCTTGATCTACCCAAATTCTTTAAAAAAAATAACCTGTAGAAGTGTTAGAATGTCTTAAAAATTTCTAAAATCGGGGCTAGCAGGTGGTATAGTGGTTACATCTGGATTCCCACATGGCCAACTTGATTCAAGTCCTGGACCCAATGACTTAAAACTCATGCCAGATGCACATGTGTGTGTGCCCCAAACCCCCAGAGAATGGAAGAGAAGGATTTGTGGCATGGACATCTCCCTGGGTAGTGATTTCTTACTTTCTCTCTTACTGTCTTTGTCTCTCTGTCTCTCCAGCAAGTACACATGCCTCAACACAAAAATCTCTTAAAAAAATTTCTAAAATTACCAAAATGTGGCACCATGGGACTAATGCCAACAAACAGAGATTTCCGTTGGTGTAACTTTAGCAGACTTTCTAGAAATGTGAACACCTACCCACTGTAAAAGAAAGGACATGTTAGCAAGGACTTACCCTCTGATGTAAGAATCTTCTTGTCTTTGGGGGCTAAGATGTGTCCAGCATGACTAATAACCCACACTGGAAAGCGTCTGTTTGTCAAAGAGTACAAAGCCTTCGCAAATGGCACATAAAAGGTAGGAAAGCCTGGGTTACCTAAGAAAAGAATCACAGACTTTAGATTAATTGAAGAAATAAACCCACAAAACTGGAAAAGAAAGGTCTATGTTTCCTCGTACTTGGCTCTGCAGATCTAGTGCCATTCACATGTGTACTTTAACTTTAATGCCCTTTCTGTCTTAAGTTTGGGAATGACCACTTAGAACATTTCTATTCCTGCTCTGTTCTTCAATCTCTTCAAATAAATTCTTCCTCCTTGTTCCTCAACCTACTAAATGAAATCATCAATCATATACCAGATGCTCAGTTCTAAACACTAGGATTCACCCTTGGTTTCTCTCTGATCTTTGCATCCAATTAACCAATGGGGTCTGTCAAATAAGCTTTCAAAATCCAACTCAGATGTGTGTGTCCACTTCTCTCCATTAGTGAATACCCCTGCCCACGAGGTTTTCTATGATGGCCTCCTGACAGATCTCCCTACTCTTGTCCCCTTGGAATCCATTCTTCAGTGTCCCTGAAGAGAGATCCTGTCATCATGACATCAAACCATAGCAATTCCCTACTTACACACCCTTCAGTGGCTTTCCACTGTCATCTACATAGTCTCAAATCATTAATAATGCATATAAGCCCTTCAACATTTGACCAGGCTCAGATTTTTTTTTTCATCATGAATCTATAAAAAAGACTAGCCAAGTCAATGTAAGAATTATGTACAGAAAAATTTTATCTTTTCAGTGTTTCCTTGTCATTTATCACAAATCTATGCATTATAAATAGATGTATAGTTTGATCTTTTGGAGAAAGATCATGAACTAATACCTATAGATTTTTCTCGTGCATGTATAGAAGGTATTTTTGACATGAATTTGCCATAGAGAAACAACACAAATGATCTTTTTTTTTTTTTTAAAAAAAAGATTCAATCTGATACAGACATAGGGGGAAAATGCATTGAAATAGGGATTTTATCTTGCAAGTATCGCCTATATGAAGTTCATTTCCATTAATATCTATTTCACCAATTTATCAATTTCTTCATGCTCGTAGGTTTTCTCCTCTTTGGAATGATGTGACATAGTCTGGGGCACTGATGTAAATAACCACAGCCATCCGTGTCAAATGTCACTGATTTCTTCCCTGCTCTTCAATCATCTTTTAGTTTTCTAGACAGGCAGTTCAGAGTGTAGACTCTGGACAGACTGGGCTAGAATCCTGTTTTGCCTTTTACCAACTGTGTGAGCTTTGGCAAGTCATTTAACCCTTCTGTACCTCGATGTCCTTATCCATGAAAGGGGGTAATAATCATACTAGTTTCGTGTGTAGATAATGTCAGTTAATATACATAGAGCACATCGACACTGTCGGAAACATAGTAAACATGGTGTGAATGCTAGCAATCCAATCTTGGGCATCAACATCTAGCCATAATGGGAATATACAGTGACCTTATCATCCATACGGTTATTTTACTAGTGCTCTGGCTCAGCGACCCAAGGCTCAGATTTTTTTTTTTTTTTGGCGATGGTTCTATTGTCATCTTTGTCAAATAAGGCGCAAACTTCCCCCAGCGCAGTAATATGCAATTTGGCCAGCTTACGGGCCACTGTGCAGCTACAGAGGAAAGAAGGCAGGAGGAGCACAGCGGCACAGGGGCTGTAACCTCTATGGGGCTGTGGAAGGCAAGGCTTCATGTTTTGTAAGTTTCTATCTTCAGTAAGTTTGGAATTACTTATTTATTTGTTTGTTCTTAGGCCGTGTGCATTTACCAGAGAGAGACAGACAAAGGGCAAATGATATCACTCCCCAGATGGGACGGCCACATAGCAATCCCCTCTCCTCTATTCTCCTCTCAGGATTTTGGCCACACATGCACATGTGCTCAGCATGGTTTTCAAGCTACTGGGTCCCAGACTCGAACCCTGGTCGGCTGGGAATCCAGCGCATTAACCGCCATGCCACCCGCAGCCCCCAAGTTCAGAATTTTTTTTTCGTATAAAGCACAAAGAAGCCCTCCAACTTCTTTCCAAATGACTGGCCAAATGTCTCAAGACCATTTATTACATAATTTATTCTTTCTGTATTTATTTGAAATGTCATCTGATTAAAAATAAATTTTTATAGTCATTTGCTAATTCTGATGTCAAGGAATTCTGTTTATGTTTTCCTTTGGGTTTTTTTTTTTTTGGTCTGCCACTACTACACTTAAAAAAAAAAGAATTATTTATTTAATTTTATTTATTATTGTTATTTTAAAAATTTGCTAGAGGGTATGTGTGCTCAACACACACACACACACACACACACAGAGAGAGAGAGAGAGAGAGAGAGAGAGAGAGAATGTGAGCAAGCACACCACAAGGACTCAAATGGCAGTTGGCCATGTGGGAGTGCAGCACTCTAACCACTACACCATCTGTTGGCCCTCATGTTGTCTTAATTACTACATTAAAAAAAAAATAAACTTAATATTTCAGTAACTGGTGGTCAAATTCCTTCTCTTTATTTTTCTAAGTTTCTGAAGCTAGTCTCATAAACTTTAGGATTATTTTTCACTAGCTTTCGATTTTTTGAAAATCTCTGGGACTCTGATCAAAATTTCATCTTAAACTTACTTTAGGAAGAATATATATATACTGAGTATAACCTTATAGAAATATGTTAGGACTCATATTCAAATGTTTTATGTCACTCAGGTAAGTCCTACAGATTTCTGCATATGGCTAAAAAATAGTAACAGCTGATATTACTAAGTGCTACAACTTATTCGATGCCAGGTAGTGTTAATGTGCTTAACACGTGTTAACTTGTTTAGTCCTCGTATGGGGCAGTACAATTACTACTTCCATTTTATGGATGAGGAAGCTGAGGTTCACAAGTTAAATAACTTGCCTAAGTTCACACATGGTGCTTGATAAATACTGGATGACTAAAAGAATATAAAAAAAATAATAACACTGAATTTTAAAAAGCATAAATGGCCTGGTGTGGGGTCCTCTGTGCACTTAGTTCTGGTTAATCTTACATAGCTCTTTAAGGTCATTGGGATGACTCTTAGGGATAATGAGTGGCCAGCTACTTGCACAATTCTTGACACACAGTAGGCACTAAATAATGGTACACATTAATACTATAATTATTATTACAGTTAAAAAACATTTTAATATTAAGGAGACACCGAAAATAACAACTACAAGATTAAACGCAATAGTTAACATTGGCAGGATATACAAATGTTGGAAACATAAAGATTCAAAAAAGTTTATTAGGTAACTATCTAATTTAAAATGCTCTACTTTGGGGAGTTTGTGATGTTCTTAGTATGCTGTCATATTTTTAAGGTATAACTTGTTATGATTTACTTTCTCATTTGAAATAAGTATGCATTGCCATTAGAAATAAGTGAATTTTTCCCTACCAAATTAACTTTTTTTTTTTTGAGAGGGTTTTGCTACAGGGCGCATGCGCTTGCCAGAAAGACAGAGAGAGAGAGAGAGACAGAAAGCGAGAAATCACCCCTCAGTGGGGATGGCCACGCCGCATTCCCTTCTCCTCCATTCTCCGTTCAGGATCTTGGGCATGCGTGCACACGTGCTCAGCATGAGTTTAAGTCACCGGGTCCAGGACGCGAACCGCGGTCAGCTACATAGGAGTCCAGTGACATAGCCATTACACTAACTGCTGGTCCCTCAAATTAACTTATTTTGAAGTCTTATTTATTAGACCAGACTGGTACTAGAGGTAGAAGGGGTAGTGGATTTGGTACCAACGTGGACAGAGGCCCCTGCCTTAGGAGGTAAGGTGCTACTTACCTCCACTAGAAGGTTTCTGTAATGACCAATGTTGTTATTTTCTTAGTACTCAGATACTTCAGGTATACACCAGGGACGAGGGGGTAGGAAAATAGGGAGATGTTGGTCAAAGGATAAAATTTCAGTTAGATAGGAGGAATAAGTTCAAAAGATCTAGTTTATACATAGTGACAATCGTTAATAACAATGTATTATAGTCTTAAAAATTGCTAAGAGAACAGATTTTAAGTGTTCTCTCCACAAATAGATGATAAGTATGTGGGGTAATAAACATGCTAACTAGATTGATTTAATCATTCCACAATGTGTACAGACATCAAAACATCATGTTGTATACCATAAATGAATACAATTTTTATCTCTCGAAAATATATATCCAGAGTAGAGCTTTTTATTTCCATGTTTTTGCTACAGAGTGTGTGCTTGAGACAGAGAAAGGGAAA